GTCATGTCCTGGATGGGTACTAAGCAGAAAAGGGCATCCTGTAAAAATGATGGGATCTGGAAAAAGTGCCAAGTTTAGTTCACTGTAACGTGGCAAGGATGAGGGAACTCTTTGGGGTAGTCAGAACTCTGAACTGACTTCACAACCATTCTCTAAAACTGTTAAAAATGCATTTTTGTTGAAGAAATTCTGAGCATGATAGATAATTTTGGTAGTATTCTTGACACACACAACAAAATCTGGTTCTATTTTTTAAGAGCAGATTATTTAACTTTAATAGCTCTGGTCTCTAGACATGTTGGAGGCACTTCGTAGAGGGACACGGACTGAAGACACTTTCTCTGCTTCAGTGATTTTATGTGGCTCTAGTCTTGAGTTGGGGTGCATGACATTTGCCTGGTTTGCATGGCATGTCCATACCCCCGTCAGCCAACAGTAAGACACTGTCACTGGCCGAAGTGCTCTGTTGTAGTGGATACCAGAGCTGCCATTTGCATCTCGGCAAGTCGCCAGGAACAGAATGGACATTGAGGATAACAGAGAAGTGCTTTTTGAGGCTTGTGGTGCCTACAGATTGGGTTGATTTCTGTCAGCCATTGTGGAAGGTAAAAATAAAACTTTCTCAGGATGACATTTTTGCCATGTGACCAAAGAATAAAACATATTTTCTCTTAAGATGTTCAAAGTACACATCATATATAGCAAAGTGCACTACATAAATCAGATATTTTGTGAGGTTTCATTTATTTGTTATATTATAAAAACATAGAAGTTGACATTTAATTATTAAATGTCTTCCTTCATAACTCATTTGAGAACAATAAATTTAAACTTTACTACTTTCTCTGGACAAACCGGGAACATGTATTCCTCTTTCACTGTGGAGCAGCTCTCATGAAGACAAACGTGTCGTGTGTTCCCGGAAAGGCATCAGGAGTTGGGCTCCTGTCCGCTAGTGATCCTTGCAGCACAGTGCTTCCCAGAGCCTCCCTGTCAGCCACAGTCTGGCTTGATGCTGCTGTGGCATGCTAACAGATGGGAGACAGGCCTGCCTTGCACAGCAGCAGCAGCTGCCAAAGTTACTCATAGGGAGTAAATCTCACAGGTGCTGTTAGGTCAAAAAAATTCCTTTCTTTTCCTAGAGATATTTTCATGTGACTGAATGTTGGATTTTGTTGTTGTTCCTTCTGTTCTATTGAGATGATTTATCTTTTATCTTTTTATCTTTTATTTTGTGAATATGACTTATTACATTAGCTATTTCTGGATTTTAAGCCAATCTTGCATTCCCAAGATAACTCCTACTTGGTCATGGTATGTAATTCTTTCTCTATGTTGCTGAACTCAGTTTGCTGCTATTTGATTGAGGTTTGTTCTGTCATTGTTTATGAGTGATGTTGGTTGGTGTTTTTCTTTTTTTCTGATGTCCAGCATTGGTAATCAGAGTAAATACTGACTTTTTAGAATAAACATGTTCCTCACTCCACCATAATAGAAGTACCTCTCATTGCTCAGGGCATTTTTAGTTGTTCATATATTTTGAATAAGATATGATTCACAAAAAAATAAAATAAAATAAAAACCAGTTTCTCAATATAAAGTTTGCTTTTCATTACCTTAAAAGTGTTTTCCATAAACAGGGTTTTAAAAAGCTGGGGTTGTGACTCAGTGGTAGAGTGCTTGTCTGAAGCACTGAGTTCGATCCTTAGCACCACATAAAAATAAATAAATATAATAAAGGTATTGTGTCCATCTACATTGGAAAATAGTTTTTAAAAAAGTTTGATAAAGCCCAGTTTTCCATTGTTTTATTTTATGGATTGTGCTTTTGTTACATATTTAAAAACTCTTCTAGTATAAGGTCACAAAGATTTTCTCAAAAGTTAAGACCCATAAATTATAGAATCAGCTTGCTAATAGTTAGGAACCACATAAAAATAAATAAGTAAATAGATTTTTTTTAAAAAAAAAAAGTTATGAAAAACCCTGCTGGGATTTTAATTGGGACTGTGTTGAGTTATAGATCAATTTGTGAGGTTGGCATATTAATACTGAGTATCCCAATCCACATATTCGGGGTATCTTTTCATTATTTAGGATGTATGGGATGGTTCCAGAAGACATAGCCATGGATGTTATGGTGTGCCTTTCACCATTAGCAGGTAGCCTAATGCTAAGTGATCCTTGACCAGGTGTCCTTTCTCAGGAAACTTGTTTATACTAGTAGACATCCTTGTGGTCCTTGTCTGACCTGTGTCCAGTTTATTCCTACCAAAATAGCCCTCTCTAGGAGAGTGCTTACCTGGAAAGAAGGTTCAGTCATGTTAGTTAGGTGAGACACAGAAAAGGCAACGTGCAAAACACACATGAATAGCAGCAGTGTATTGCTTACAGACCCTAGAGACAGGGCAGCAAACTCCCAGGACCAGTGGGAAGCAGGGAGCCTTTTGGAATGTTCAACCGGCAGTAGTGGAGAGACAGACTAAAAGAGACTTGAGGGTCGAAACTTTTGTTAGGGTTCAGGGCATTACCCAAGCAGATGCCCCAAGGAAAGATCTCTTATTGGTGAGTCTGGAGCAAGAAGGCACAAGTCCTATGGAGTCATGCTAGGAGCAGAGGTGGTCACTGTGGCCTATCTTCACAGTCTGTAAGAGGGAAGGGTCACTGGGGTGAGTTAAACTTCTAGCTGCCTCCTAGGGAAGCAGCTCCCATGAAATGGTTGTATAAGGTAGATGCCTGAGTCAAGCATCTTGAACAACTGAAAGGAGGCAGAGAACTGGAAACTGTCGAGGTTGACCAAGCTCTGCTTCTGATATGAGAAAGGTAAACAAATTCAAAATGGGTATTGAAGCAACATAAAATTATAAGAATTAAGACTTACCTTTCATCTGGGCCTGGAATTTTCTTTTTAGGAAGGCTTTTTAACTATTAATTCAATATCTGTAATATATGCAGTTCATTCAGATTTTGAATTAATTTTGGTCATTCACTTAAGGAATCATCCATCTTCCTCTGAGTTTCCCAATGTATGAGCATGTCATGGCTCATGATATTTTTTTAGTGTCCTTAATCTCTGTAGAATCTGTAGTGATAACTCCCTTTTATTCATGAAATTGGTCATTTTTTTAATCTTATATTTTCCTTGAACAGTTTGACTAGAGTTTTATAAGCTTTATTGTTTTGTTGCCAGTTCTGGGTTTCACTGATTTTTCTCTATTGATGTCTATTTTTAATTTAATCTAAGCTTCTATTATTTTCTTTTACTTATATTGGAATTAAATTACTCTTTTTTCATAGTTTCTAGAGGTAGAATCTTTATTTGAGATCTTTATTCTTTTTCAACACATATATTGCTAGAAATTTCCCTCTAAGTACTGCTTCAATTACATTCCATGAATTTTGACATTTTGTATTTTCTTTTTCATTCTGTTCAACTTATTTTTAATTGGGACATTATCATTATACATAATAATGGGATTCACTGTGACATACAACATTAAAAAAAAAACTAAAAATCACTATCAATTTTGTCCCTCAGTACCTTCCCTTTTCCTCCCCTGCTCCTCTCCCAGGATTCCCTCCCTCTGTTCTACTGGTCTCCCTTCTAATTTCATGAGCTCCCTGCCCCCGTTTTTTGCTTTTTCTCTTTAGCTTTCCCACATGAGAGAAAACATATTTCCCTTGACTCTCTGACTCTGGCTCCACTTTCACTTAATATAGTATAATGCTCTTAAGTTCAATCCATTTTCCTGCAAATGGCATAATTTCATTCTTCTTCATGGCCAAGTAAAAACTGTAAAAAAAAAAACCTGCATTTTTATGTTTTTAAATATAAAAACTGCATTTTTAGATTTTCTTAATTCATTGATCTGTGGATAAATACATTGGCTGGTTCCATAACTTGACTATTGTGAATTGTGCTGCTATAAACATGGTATGCATGTATCACTATGCTAATTTCGGTTCTCCGGATAAATACCACAAAGAATGGGCTAACTGGGTTGTATGGTGGTTCCATTCCTAGTCTTTTGAAGCACCCCTATACTTGTTTTCATAATGGTTTAATTTACAATCTCACCAATAGTGTAAAAGTTTTCTTTTTCTCCCAAATCCTCACCAGCATCTATTATTATTTGTATTCTTAATGATTACTATTTTAACTGAAGTGAGATGAAATCTCAGTGTAATTTTGATTTGCATTTCCCAAATTGCTAAAGATCCAACATATTTTCTAAATTTCCTTGAGACCACTTTTAACTGCACCCTTACTAAGAAGCATTTGGACATTAAAATGCATCCCTATAAGACAATAGGGCTTTGATGCTCAGCAGTTCCCACTATGGAAGAATTCATCAGATATAATCAGGGGGTGAAGACCAAGTTGCACCAAAAGGATTTCATGTCTAGACAAAGTGGGTGTCATTTACTGTCCTGCCAAGGATCAGAAGGATTGTAACAGAAATTCTCATGATTAGAATAGTGGGAACAGGGTAGAAGCTACTGCCCTTTACCCCAGGTGTAAAGGTGCAGAGCAGTGGTGCTCGATAAATGGCCCTCTGGGGTTCGCAGGGGATGCAGCTTCACCCACTGCCAGCCACAGAGGGGCTGAGATAGAAGTAGCCAATGAGTACATAGGGCAGCAGGGGAGGGGAGACTAGGGACAGAGGCCAGAATTTTCATCTTCAAGTATGCTTTTAAATAAAAGTACAATATATAGATTTCATGATTTGGGTTGTTTTGAAAGTTATTGCATGTAATTACAATAAGGTTCACACAGCCAGTAAGAGCTATTCTCAGATTTACTGACTGTACTTAGTAGCATCTCCCCCAAAACTGTGTTTCATATTAATGTAGTAAATGTTAATAGGCAGGAAACATTGGATTGCTTATTTTGTTCATGTTTAATAAAATATTATTGCATTTTAAATACCCTTAAATGGAACATATTAATTTAAGAATATATATTTTAGCTAAAGCTATTTTCCTGTTATTATTAACAGAATATCCAGGGTATTTCCAAGCACTCAATTCAAATTGCTAAGCCTCTGAATTTTAAAGGTAATATTTCTTTCTGCCTTACTAAAATCTTAGGTAACATATTTAAAACTTAGAAGTGTTTTATAATTGTTTTTCTATAACTAACTGCTCCACTTTGCTGAAGTTCTCCTTTGTTTGCATGACCAGGATTTAAATATACATTGAAAAAATAAAGAGTAGCTGATGTGATATGGGACCTCCCTTTTAGCAGCTTACAAGTTAAAATAGATAGTAATTATAACTCCCCTTCTACTATCTCTCTCCCACCAACTTCCTGATAAAGAAAAAAAGAACTTACATACAGTAGCACTGGCTTTTATTAAAGTCTGAAAATTACTGGAAATATTTATAAAAGCACAAACAATTTTTTTTTCTCTTGAGTTATTCTACTGTAATGTTGACGTTCACATTTCTGAGAAAGGGAAGTTCCAATTGGACAAATTGGTGCTGTGTTGCCCATTCCCAACCTTTTGTTTCAGGGCCAGTGCTTCCCCCTGGGCTGTGGGCACACAATGAAGCACCACAACTGGCCCTTTCTAAACGTAAATGTTTACACTCAAAGAGAGTCCATGGAAGGTGACCACCAGCCACTCTGCCTCCTATGCTATTTTCAGATTTCTCCAGTGGGAAAATCACAACTGCATGGCCCTGCATAGGCATCAATATTTGGCTTTTCCCTTTGTCAAAACCTCTAGAAAAAAAAAAAACAGGAAATTTCAACAAGAAAATCTCATTAGCTTTATGTAATAATGTTCTTTTAAATTACATTAATAAAATAGTTGTAAGAATTAAGAATCTAAACTCTTAACTTTGGGTGGTATTAAAATAACTCTACACTGAGGAATATCTTCAAGTGCACTCACAACCAAACTCACTATGTGCTCTTGCAATGACAATTTAGGTAAAGAAGATGAGACTTTCACCATCTCCCCAAGAACCTTGCTTGTTTCCTCCAGGGGCCACATCTTCCTAGCAGCAGGTATGTGCTAGCAACAATGGAGGATAATCTGTACCACTGTAGCTCACTCATTGTGTTTTCATGCAGTTCAAATATTTACAAATTGAATAATTCAAAGGTACTTACAGAATTAATTTCTTCAATTAAATCCTAAGGCAAATATGGTCTTTGGCTTCTAGGGTCCCTGCACTTTGCCATATCTAGATGGCACACACCCTGCGTGGCCTACTCAACCGGCTGCCTTCCTCAGTCCTCATCTCAGCTCCCACCCCTTGCTCACTCCAGGCAGCCACATTGGCTGCTGGTCATATGTCATTCCTCTACTTCCCAGATGCTTCTGGGCTCCCACTTTGCCTCCTCACATATCGCTCAGTGTCCCTTTCTTGGTGAGGTCTAGGTCTACAAGTGTCTACAAATTGGGGAACTGACTGTTCACATTAGCACTTGCCTGCACACACACACACCACTCATGCCCAGACCGAATCGTTTTACCTTGGTCTGTGTTTTCCATTTCATTTCTCCCCTTCTGACATACCAAGTAACTCAAACTGTCCCCCTTGAGGATGTGAGCTCCATAGGGTAGGGAACTTGGCTATTTTGCTCATAATGCAACCCAAGAGCACAGCCTGCATAGAAGGCCCTTACTAACTGTGATGTGTGCACTGACTGAAGTAATAAATAAACACTCCTGTCCTGGAGGGAGGCCTTGCTGGCCTCCCAGAAGGCAAAGGGTGTCTTTAGACAGCTGACACAGAGGTGATGCTGGGGTGATCATATGACCAGAGGAGTCTAGCCCTTGGAAGTGGGGACGTTAAGTTCAACCCTGGATAGGGAAAGCAATCTGAGGGTGGCTGGGTGAGCAGCAGCAGGCCATCATTGGTGAATTCCCATTTGACACAGAGCTCTGTCTCACAGACTTTTCACAGATTGAATTGCGCATTCTTGCACATTTATCTGGAGATCCAGAACTTTTGAAGTTATTCCAGGAATCTGAAAGAGATGATGTGTTTTCTACCCTGGCTTCACAGTGGTAAGATATTGAGCTACAATATCATCAGATCTGTAGGAATGCTAACATGAGTTTAAAAGTGTGAAGTTATTCCAAGGCTATTTTCATAAGAAAGAAATTCAGTTTTTCTCTAGTAGTTAATCATTTTGAAAAGATGTAGATAGCCAGGGTGCCAAGAGCTTCCTAATTCTGAAAGAACTGATGGATCTTCACCACTGAGAAGAATGTGATAGGAATGTTGGAAATACACAAAGGAAGAAAGGGGAGCCCAGGGCTGGGGGCGGGGGTGGCCAAGGAGGGCAAGTGTCAAGGCTGGGTGAGGTGGGCAGGAGTGATGGGCTCCATTGGCTGTCCATGCCTGAATTGGTCTGCCGTATAAAGTACTGGAGACAGTTGGCCTCAGGTTTTATTGGCCCAGATTCATCACTATCTGCACAAAGTTAGGATTTTGCTATGAGGAAGAGGAGGGCAGAGTGGGCTAGCTGTTGGAAGCTTGCTGTGCCTGCCATCACTGTTCCTTCTCTGAGCAGCTTCAGGTACCCCCTTTTCTCACCTTGGTCCTCTCCTTCAGGCTGCCCCACTGTGGCCCTCCTCCCACCTCTCCTACCTTATCTCCTGTTATTTGCTTACCTCAGGATCATTAGAGGTCAGTTCCAGTAAGGCTTTCCCCACACAGGGCCCTGTGCTTCCTCCTCACACACTCTTTTGTCACAGCCCTCCTGGAGGCATGTGAGCCCCACAGAGGCAAGGCCACCTCCCATTGTCCAGGACAGGTATACTGGCTGCTTTCTGGCCCCATGGCCACCTACTTTCTGGTCCTCCCTGGTTGGGCCCCAGTATACCAGCCACCTGTCTCACTGGGGCCTTTCCTTCCCCTGGGCTCTGGAAGCTCTCTCTAGCCTTATCTAAGCCTGCCCTTAGGCATGTACTGGGGGCTTCCCTGGCACCATCCTGACCTTCCCCAGCTCTGCTGCTCTCTGTCTGCACATGTCATCCACTGAGTACCAGTTCGGTTCCCTGATGTGCTCTACCAAGCCAAGGGGCTCAACTCTCTCCTTCCATATCCACTCAAATAAATGAGTGGATAGTGCAGAGTTCATACTTTCCTGTGCATTTTCCAAAAATACCAGTACTACAGGACTTTCATTTGAATAATAAAATTCAGGAAATATTTTATGAGAAGGTGGTAGGGAGTGAGAAAATTACTGTGCACTAAGATGGACTTAAGTGTGAATAGTTGTAGAAATGTATTTGGAACATCGGGCAAAGCAACAAAACCAAGCCCAAAAGTGGGGTCCTGGATGGACATGATGAATATGACTCTATGGAGTACAGAACCATCAGGAGCCAAGTGCAGCTCATAAGCTCCAACCAAAGTCCAGCCATCTGCCATCTTCAGGGGCTTTGTCTCCTGTCCCAACCTTCACCTTCCTCCTTGGCCTTGCTCTGGACCCTCTGCAACTCTCTCCTTCCATACCCAGTGGTTTCTGTCCTGGCTGTGTCCTCTCTGGCCTAAGCTCCCTACCTCTGGGCACCCCAGACATATGCTTGGTCCCCACTGCCCTACTCCTGTGCTCAGCTGTCCAGCCCTACCCCCCACACCTCCCACCCTGTACCTGTCACACAGTGGGGCTGCAGTTGTGTTATTTGTCTCTCCCCTGCACCATGCTGAGCTCCAAGGGCCCCGACTGTATATGCCTGATGGTGCTGGACTCCAAGTCAGGCCTGGGGATAGACAGCAGGTGAAGAACTGCATGGACCCCCTCACCTTGGCACTCAGCCCCAATGGCTGCCCCCTTTGGACTCAGTGTTCTTTTGTCTTCTCCTCCCTGGTTGCTGGTTTCTAGTCCTGGGTGATGCCCATGCCACCTCCCCGTCTTGCAGCCCAGGCACTGGGGAAAGTCGTAAAGTGGGAATGATTGAGTTCATGTGACATTAAGGTCATCAACCTGAGAGGGACCTGGTCTCGTCAGCCACTCCAAACATTTCTGTTGTCTCACAAATCTCTACCCTTTTCTCAATCTTAAAAGAGGACCCTCTTACCTAAGTGAGGTTCAAGTTCCTAACTGTGCCTCCTCTCTGCCTGGTGTTTTCCTGTGCAGCTCCTCCCACTGTCCCACAGGTCTTGTCTCAGAAGGTGATAAGGGAATATTGGAAGCAAATTTGTTTTCAAAAAACCAGTTTCTTGACAACCACAAACTACCAAAGCCTAACTCAAATGAAACTGATAACCTGAATATTCCTGTAATTATTAAAGAAATTGAATTTATAACTGAAAGTTCCTAAAAAGAAAACCCCAAGTCCAAATGACTTCATGGGAGGATCTTATCCAATATCTAAAGATAAGTTAAGTTATACAACCTAATCCAAAAAAACAGAACAGGAAGGATCCCAATTCATTTGTGAAGCTAGTGTTACTCCTGATGCCAAACCAGACAAAGAAAGTTGAAAAGTAGAACAAAACTACAGACTAACGTTACTCAGGAACTTACATGCAAAGTCCTCAACAAAATGTTACAAACCAATCCAATGATATATAAGTGAAATTTATACAATGTCCAAATGAAATTTATTCCTGGAATGAATGCAGCGTTAATCAATGCAATCCATTGTATCATCATGCTAAAGAATAAAAGGATAGTATCAACAGATGCAGACAAAGCATTTGACATGCATCCATGATAAAAATTCTCAGCAAGTTAGAAATAGAAGGAAACAATGTCAACCTGGCAAAGATCATATTTTTTTAAAAAAAGGCAACTGCATGTTTAATGAGAAAAGGAAGAATGTTTTCCTAGGGAGCAGGAACAATTTATTAATATTGATTTATTTTTGTATGTGTGGTACTGGGGATTGAACCCAAGGCTGCTCTACCACTGAGCTGCAACCTCAATCCTTTTTATTTTTTGAGACAGGGTCTTACTAAGTTGCCCAGGCTGGTCTTAAATTTGAAATGTTCCTGTCTCAGTCTCTCGAGTACCTGGGGTTACAGGTGTGCACCACCACACCAGGCTTAAGACTGCATATTGAAGTTCTAATACTGCAAAAGATAAGAGAAAGGAATAAATGATGTACAGATTGTAAAGGAAGAAGAAAACTTCTCTATTTGAAGATGACGTGATTGTCTAGAAAATCACAAGGAATATACTAAAAATATTTTTTAAATTCCTAGAACAAATGATTCCAACAAGTCACAATCAACACACAAAAATCAATCACATTTCTATAAAATGACAGTGAACAAGCAGAGAGTGAAATTTAAAACGCAATGCCATTTACAGTTATGCCAAAGAGTATTCTCTTTGGGATGGACAGTCCCCAACTTGCTGTGGTTCAGCATTAGGTATTTTCACTGTGCCATGTGTGAAAACCAAACGCATACAATTTCAGTCACTTCCCCGGCTAGTGATGTGTGCAGTACCACCCTCTCTCTACCTTCCCACAGTGAGATCAAGTCGCAGCTCCCAGGCCTCTGTGGTCACAGGGTCGGCACAGTTGGCTCTCTTCAGTATGCTGTGTTCCTAAAATTCGATGTTTGGTAGATTAGGAAAATTACCTTCCCTTATCACCTTACAACATTTCAATTCACAGTGGGAGAGGATTATCTATACTTAAATGTTCAGTTAAGAAAATGTTATGCCCCAAATGACAAGTACTGATGAAAATAATCAAACATCTGATAAATTAATAGATATATTGTAGAGCTAGGGTTGTGACTCAGTGGTAGAGGGCTTGCCTCACACGTGTGAGGCACTGGGTTCACTTCTCAGCACCACATATAAATAAATAAATAAATAAATAAAATAAAATTCCATCAATAACTAAAAAAATTTAAAAAAATAAAAAGAAGAGATATATTGTGTTCATGGTACAGAAGATTTGACATATGAATGTGTCAGTTCTCCCTAAATTGACCCGTAGGTTTGTAATGTGGTTTATTAGTTTATTTAAAACTCAGGCAAGGTGTCCATAGACACAGAAAAGCTTATTCTAAAGTGTGTATGAAAAGGCACAGACCTTAGAAAAGCTAAAGCAATCTTGACGAAAAATGAGCTGGGAGGAATCACTTCCTGATAGACTTAATGTGCAGCAGAGAGATAGACACATAGATCAATGGAACAGAAAAGAGAAGTCAGCAATAGACTCACCAAATATGCTCAACTGTTTTTTGACAAAGGCATAATACACGTGGTAGAAAAGAATTGTATTCAGATTCATGTCAGGCTGATCATGCACAAAGACAGCTTGAAGAGCTCATGTCTACACTGGATATTTTGTATGTCTTCCCTGCATTTTATTACCTCTTATTAGTGTTTGGGAGACCTTCAGAAATAAGTGCTTTTAATATTTGTATTGTGGTTGCCTCTAATTTCCTACCAGCAGTAGTAATTCTGCATTTGTGACTTACAATATAATTAGTTGCTGTGGAAATGATTTTTATGTTCTAAACAGAGGACTAGAATAGTACATGGTAAAAAAGGCAGATCAACTACACGTAAAAATGTTTGTTCCTTCTAAAAGCCTTATTGTTTGAAACACAAAAGGCAGAAAGGCAAGTATTCTGAAATATTTAGTGACATTATCAAAAAGTAACAACTTCCTTGAAAATCCTTTAAGATTACAAAGTTATATAACTATGGAATTTGGCTGCTTGGGAGGCAGAGGCACGAGGATCAGATCGTGAATTCAAAGCCAGCCTCAGCAAAAGCTAAAAATAGGGCTGATATGTGGCTCAGTGGTCAAATACCCCTGAGTTAAATCCCTTGTGCCTCCCAAAAAAAGATGGAATTTGGGAGGAGTAGTGGAAATCATCTGTGAAGCCGCAATTTGACAGACAGGTGCCAGAGAAAAAGCAGGGACACCTGAATCGGGAGAATTCAGAGCTGCCCTCCCACTCCCACCACTAGATAATCATGAGATCTTAGGAGTTGGTGACTTATGGCCTGCTGTATCAAATCCTAAAACATGGCACTGGCTGCAATATGTCTATTGGAGGCTAAAAGATGGCATCTAATAAAATGTGATAAATAA